TTTGGGTAGGAGTTGACCTGATCCCGTTAGTCCTCCCACACGTAGGGGAATGAGGAACCCTCCTTCCTCCATGGGAACACGAAGGGACTACGGGTACAGTGCGGCGCGATCACGCACATCGACCACGCTTAATCATACACCACCATGTAATCTGCAGATGCTCCTGATAAATCGACTGTTGGACATCTCGTGCCCAGGACAACTTGTACCCAGCATGCCCGGATAGCCGGACATGCCGGAACATTGTACCGGCTGTTGCCTCGATGCCCATGGTCTTTGCTTGGACGCCCATAGATAAGTGCAACAATGTACATGTACATGCTGTAAGGCATCAGAGGCAGTTGCCTTGATGCCTGTGGTCTTTGTCTAGATCATTTGCCCATAGAAATGATCAACGTGATTCTCCAGTACAAGTAGCCCCACTAGTATGGCACGGACTCTCACTCCCGATCCATCCTTAGCCACACATCCGTATGCGCAATGTCGTGTTGGCGTACTGAACATTTTTGGCGCACCCACTTATAATCGTGGGCGCAATTTCTTTTGCATACGAACATGATTCTTGACCTTTTTGTTTTCTAAATACCATTTACTGAATGATTTCACTCACGTTATTCAGGTATTTTCCAGTCTTTTTTCCTTTATCCATTCAATCTAACGGGCTCACTCTCACAGTCGCCATCTTTGAAATAAGGTCGTTGACCATTACGTCACTTGACCCCTCGTCGTCTCAGCGGCTGTTCCATGTCAAGACATGTAATAAACGGACTGAGCGATAAGATGCTACATGCACCAATGGACTCTTCCAAAACTTTGGCAGCAGTTTAGATGTCTTGACATGGAACAGCCGCTGATTATAAGTGGGTGCGCCAAAAATGTTCAGTACGCCAACACGAAATTGCGCATACGTATGTGTGGCTAAGGATAAATCGGGAGTGATCCGTGCCACACTAGTGGGGCTACAGTACAAGTACCCTTTGTGAGGGAGAAATTACCTTGTCCCTTTAAGAATGAAACTTTTTTCCTGTTAAGGGATTAAACGTGTACATGTACATGTATGTGTATGGGCAGGACCTGATTGCATTAATTATGTGTTTTTTACTCCTTTGCAGATACATTTTTGTGTGTTCAGGGCACACAGTGAAAATCTTCAGTGCAGCCAGCGGAGATTGTGTCAGGGAGCTGAGAGCTCATGATGGTGAGGTCACTGGAGTGGTGGTCAATCCACAAAACAAACTGCAGGTACATGTAATATACCAAACAACAATACCAGCCAACATGTCCCTTGCTGCCCAATTGAAGCAAGATATGGGACGGAGAGAACCCCCCCTTTGTGTTGGTCATTGTTTGATTGGAATCTCAGGAATTCTTTGCAGACTTCTAAGGGGGATGTGTTAGGTAACAATAGTCTAGAGTGTGTATAGGGATTGGACAGGTAAGGGGGGTACCCCTCCGTCCCATATCTTGCCTGGTATATTGCTGCTAGACTTTGATATCTACTTCTTACTGATTAGATGTAGTGTTGGAGTATTTGATTTCGTCTGTGTTCAATAAAATAATGACAACAAAAAAGTGTATTTGTGTACTGAGTACTGTAAACAAATTGAGGGAGATGAATTTCATGAGGAAAATGGAAAAAAATTCACTGAAGTCTACTGGACTGCAAGAAATGTTAAAAGGCAGACTCACTATTAAGGGATTATTAACCAACTGTTGTATTAAATCATTTACACACTGTACTGTTGAAAAACTTTCGGCAATACATGTACATCTTTGCACGTATACCTTTAAAAGTTAAGCTCACAGAATTTCTTTTTTACAGAAATTTCAGGGCAATTTGTAGAAAAAATGGCAGACTGCTGGGTTTGTACTGGTAATCGGTGTTTTACTAGACCGGTGTTAACCACTTTTACTGTATTGAATGCCACAAATAGTGGTACAGTGTTTCAAGAAAAGGACGGATTACCTCCGCTATTGACTACTGAAAAATGTTCTTCAGGTCCCAGCAGCTTGATCTTCTGTTCAGAGTGTGATTTTTTGTTGCAAGAGCCGGCTCCTTTGTCCAATTTCGGGCTCCCCGACTATGCGTAAAATATAAGGTACCCGATACCAGGTCCCTCGGCGTGAAGTGGTGAGGGTCAGTCATTTCTGTCCACTACCTGGTCCAGTTGACCGTTTTGAACTGTTGATGTTTGCCTTTTGAATATGGGTACCTCCATATTAACAGTTGTACATGTATGTAATTATTTGTAGGTATTCACAGGTTCTATGGATGGAACTATCAGTCAGTGGGACTACATGGACAGTGTACTTCTTAAGGTACTGGATTGGCTACGAACCATTTGAAAATTTGTTTCTTTTGTCAGTGTCTCAATTATTTTGTAATTTGGGTATTCCGTAGGATTTTATGTTACAGGTGTACATGTACGGGTCTCCTTTTTCTCTGTCATCGTCTGTGTTCATTATACACAAAAATGACAAGTGTACGTACTGACAAATATTTCCAAGGGGCAATCATGTACATGTGTAAGGGTAATTCCAGAAATTAGGGATCCATTTGTTTTCGTGTCCCTGTCACATCTAACGTATGATTTTGTAAGTTAAGAATACATTTTCTCATTTCCAAGAGTGGTTGATTAATGCAAATTACCTGCCAAACAAATAGTAATAGTTTGAAATCAAGTCTGGTGATACTTCCACATTAAATAGCAAAGGTCAGATGTAACAGGGACACGAAAATGTCACACTTTTGGACCCCTAATTTCTGGAATTAGCCATATGACTTCTTCATATAAGACCAAAGACCCCAAAATTGTTACATGCTAATCAACGGGTGAGAATGTAAATGGTAGTACACTTGTAATATGTGCATGACAGAGTAATGTGATCAATTATTTTGGAGCGTGTCCATGCCTGTTAACACTTCTTCATTTACAGGTAGTCCTTGTGTGTTCTTGTTTCAAGCACACTGCTTTATGAATAAAGCAAACAAGAATACACCATATTACATTATATGCACATGTGCAGAATATCGCGTTGTTCAAACACACTGGAACCACCATTTGAGAAGTACACAAGATGACAAGAGAGGCAAACAATTGCCAATTACTGAGGGTTTTTTGCTGGAAATAATAAAGCCACAGCCAATTTTCTGCATTAACGTCCTTGGCCTTTTCACTAGGAACGATCCTCAATCCTCCAAAATCCTCTGATTTCGACGTGAAAAAAATTGCGTTCAGCTTCAGTCCTCCCAAATCCCCCAAAATTTCTTGAAAATGTTTTTTGGAGTTGTGTCAACTTCCTCAATCCTTCAAATCCTCTGGCAATTCCTGTCATTATGTTGACGCAGTGCAAATGGCATTCTTGAGCAGTGCGGTCGATTCAAAAGAAACATCGGGCTGAATTCATGCATGACTGAGCAAGAACAAGCCAAGGTCTGCCCATGACCTTCACTCTTGGCATCCTTTGCAATCAGCCATGCACTTTGCCAATCACCCTCAATCTTTCAAAACCGCTGAAGGATTTTGGAGGATTGAGGATGGTTAGGGTTAAGTTTATACCAGTGCGTCTGTGCAGTGCGATTTGGTGATGTTCATGTACATACATGTAGGCCATACGCAGCACTCTTTCTTCTTGTACATGTTTTCATTGTGTCTTCACAGTGTAGCATTCAGTGCACGTTTGCTTTTGTGAGATAACTCACATTGACAGAGTGTTTTGGTGTATTTTGTTCCACAGACATTGTATGTCCGATCCCCCGTCTGTGGCCTGTTTGCACATCCATCTCATCCAGATTCACTGTTTGCTACAATCTTTGATGAGAAAAGTGGTGAGCACATATACCATGACTAGTAAAATAACAATAATTTATTCATTTATAAAGTTCAAATTTCATATGGATATGTTCAAATGCGCTGTACAATGAAGACATTAAGCGTGGAACAATGAATACATTTAAACATGGTTGAGCCGATGGCATACAAGGGCACCTCAGGCAGTCGCCAAACGACCCATATTCACTTTACAACTAAAGATTGCTGTCATAGTAGCTACTGCTTACATTTCAGCACAAGTTATTTGTCTTGCTTGTATATCATTTGGCGTGTGCTATAGACCTTTCTCACCCACGTGACAGAATTGCGTTAAATGTACACAATAACACCACGTGTGGACCACCATGGCCGCGGTGATTGCATATATTCCTATGGGCAGCTTCATCCACATACAAGTGCATGTGCAAACGCTGCATGCTTGACTAGTTTATCTTGAATAAGTAGATTACCATCACCACACTATCCACTTGTTTACCATCACAACAAATCGCGATCCAGCATCGTTATGACACCACAGGAAAAAGGTTTATAGGTTCTCTGACTGTTTCAGGAACCAAAGTCTCTCAGTAACATTCACTTTTCTACATGTATGTGCAGGATACTAGAAATGAAAACGTGGAAAAGTATTGATTAGTTGCTTCACAATAGCAAGACCTTTAATATGTTCAAAAGCCTGTTTACCCCCACATTCTAAAACAATTCATGTGGAAGTTCAGAACTTCCAATATTTCAGAGTTGGAAAATTTAAGCCCAGTCACTTGTAATCAGTGGTAGGGCGAGGATGAAGCCATGGCCTTACCCCCAAAGCAAATGGGATAATTTTTCATATTTTAAAATATTTAATGAGAAAGAGCATTATTTTGGACTGTTGAACCTCCCTAAATGTGGAAAGTACTCAAGTGTAGCAGCACACTTAAGAAAGTACAGTATTGTGAAATCCTCCAATTTGCTTGGCGTACTATACCTCTGTCCCTCCCCTCCAAAAACGTTGAGCTCCAGGTAATCTGGTTGTGGATTTAACCTTGTATTTACAATTATCCTTGTCACATGCTGCCTTACTTTTGACAACAAACTCTTGCTGCATTCCTTCTAGATGACAATACCAGATTGAAACTTGTCAAGATAAAGATCCCCAAACAGGCTGGGCAGTGCGTAGACGTGGTCGACCAGTTCGTAACTGGGAATGTCCAGGCCGGTGACAAAGGTGTAGCATTCGGTGCCAGAGGAGAGTTCATTGCTACCATCATGAGGAACACGCTCAAAATAGTGTTTATGAAAGATATGCACCTGAAAAAGTGAGTTCTGTGATGATGTCGCCATTTTTAACAAGAATACCTGCTAACTGTAGCATTTATGAAAAGGGCTATATTAATTATTATAACTGTACCGTATATTGGGTGCATTCTAATGCTTTGAAAGGCAGATATTACCAGCGCTAATTATATTGCTTGTCTGATGGAAAAATGCATGGTGTGAAGTTATTTCTTAGAATTTGGTGGGAAGTTATTTAGGTTTCGAAACGTTGAAACTTTCCTTACCATGTGAAGAAGGAAGCATGTACAAGTATGTGGGCCTACATGTACATGTATTGTAATTGGAAATTTTACTCCTGTCTCCATCAGTGGTTTAAACATTCAATTCCTCGTGTGGACCTTGGAACAAAAGAGTTCGACACAACGTGGAAGTGAAGACTTGGCCATGTCCTCACAAGGTTTCCCCCTCTGAAAAAGAGATTTGGAGGCATTGTGGGGTTGCTGACAGCAAAAGGAAGAGAAACAGTCAAGCACATTGTTACGATCTGAAAAACTCCAAACTGTTTAATTATTTTGAAGCTTGAATTTTCTCAAGAAATCAAACAAGATCACAATGATATAAGGAATAAAAAAACAAGTATGATTTGATGAGTGTGTTACACTTAACTTGTCAAAAATAAAATGCTTGGAACTAGTTTACAATAGTAAGGATAAAGAATCAAAAAAAGGTCTTATATAAACAAGATGTTCTTACGGGTGAGAGCTTGGCAGGTACTACAGTGAAGAATGCTGGACTCCACAGATAGTGAAAAACAGTTCGGTCCTTGCCAGTGCAAAAATTAAGCTGCAACGTGGACAAAGACCACGTCAAATAAGAATGACCGGCCAAAGACGAAATGACGAGGGCATGATGGCCGTCGCAAATACGGGAACTTGATGATCCCACAAACTGGAACTGGATTCAGTTCACAAACTGTCTCTTTTGGAACAAAATTCAGCTCTGCACTTCACTTAGTCTGGACGAACTTTTCTAACAAATGTCACTCCACAGACGACCCGCCACCACAGGTTGAAATGGTGCAGAAGTCAACAAGTCAAAGACTTCTCACAGCCTGCATGCGGTAGAATCGCCTTTCAAAATCTCTCTTGGTGTGTGTGTCTCTCGCTCTCGTCCTGTCTTTGCCTGCCAGAGCCTGTCTGTTATAATCTACAACTCATCTAGAAATTTCTTTAGTTTCTACAAAGTTCTCATCATTACATAAGTTTCTTAAAATAGACGTCTTACGGCATTACATAATCCTACTGGAAACTTCCAGAATGTACACAGAACACTATACAACTACTGTAGAAGTAAAGTAATCTTACAGGAAACCTCCATAACGCACAACTTGAGCATTCTGGACCACAGTGAGGTTATTCACCATGGCCTGAGTCAAACGCGGGTCACACACAGAGTCGTGTGTGATACCGTTACATAATCTGTTACATGTACAGAAACTGTGTATGTACATGTACACTGTATATAACAACTTCATCAACAGAAATCCAGTTTAAAATAGTGTTTGTAATTCGTGAAAAATGAGTATTTTCATCTAGTCTTAGTTCCAAGATCACCCTGTAGTTCATTCCATGATCCTTATTCCATGTATTCCCTTTCTGCTGCTCACTGGTGCTGAGGTTCCTGTGAAGAGAACCCATTGGCCCTTTAATGCCCCCGCCCCCTTCTCTCAAGGCAGGATCAAACATAACTGAAATGAAAACCCGGCTAAATGCATTAAAACACATTGCCGAATGCAAACTGGATCAGCATAAGGTCCTTTGTCAGTGGATCTTCCCGTTCCTGTCATGAAATATTCCCTTGTTGTCTTGTTTAGCACACTCAATAGACAAGAGGGAATATGTAGAGAGTGTGATGTCATTTTGAACTAGGAAGTGTGTTGCTAAAGAATGGAATACACGAGTGTTGGTTCATGCGCTGGTTCTAGTGCTGATGCCTTTAACACATACTTTTGTGGGAGACCATTCACTTTGGTACTTTAACCACTTCGTGCCGGGGCATTTTTCAACGTTGATGCTGGGCCGGCATGACTATCATTTTTTCCGTTTTCAAAATCCTTCAAAAATTCATCATTCCATTTAACAGTCGTTTATTGCACGGAGTAATATTCAGGCACTACTCTAAGTTGACAGGTGACCTTCATTGACGCCCGAATATTTTAGCCAGGCCTGCAGCCTTGTAAACAGAGCCCAGATTGTGCGGTGTTATACAACTGTCTTTTGTTCACAAACCTGGCTCAGTGCATTGCTGACCTCTTTTCAATAGGGGCCAGATTAGCGTGCAGCGGTGCTGTGTGGCTCGTCGCTGCGGTGGTGGAGCGCTTTTGTCCCCGGCGGTAATCCGTTTGCTCTCAATGCCCCAAACCCAGGTATACCGTTTCAAAACAACGCTGGATTATCATCACTTTTGAGTGGGGAAAATGACGGTAATGCCAGAAGCCTGGTCTTTTGTTCGGAGTACGGTCTTTTGTTACAGGGCCCTGTTTTCTTTGTCCGAGTTCGGAGACCCCGGCCACACATATAAACCATACGGCTCCGATTTCGGAGTCCCCGGCTGGTAGTGGTTATCCCTAACCCCGTAGGCTCCTGCAGTAGAAAGCATACTGAA